TCAGGGGATGTTTTACTGTATATACTCAAGTATAAGCCTAGTTTTTCAGCACAATTTTTTATCTGAAAAAGCACCCCCTTGGTTTATATTTGAGTCCGTGTAAAAATTACATGTTCTCCCCTGCAGTGCGGGTGTTCTCCGGACTCCCCTGCTTATCTACAGGCGCCTGCAGCCTCTGTGGGTGGTCCAATGTCCTGGTTTAAGTACACTGCATTTCCACTTCCAGGATAGTACCATCCTCCTCCTTCTGCATAATCTATGTACCCACCTTCCTCCTCCCACCTTCCTCCTCCATCATCTGTCTCCCTCCATCTTGTTATGCCGCAGTAGAGCAGTAGATAAGTGCAGTATCTGGTATGAGTCCTCCCTCCGCAGGCAGTGAAGTGTGTCTCACAGCTCAGAAGGGCAGTATCTTCAGAACCATGTAACCCAATGGTCCCCAACCTTGGACCTCCAGATGTTCTTGGACTTCAGCTCCCAGAAATCCTGGCCAGCAGAGGTGGTGGCAAAGGCTTCTGGGAGTTGTAGTTCAACAACATCTGGAGGCCCAATGTTGAGGACCACTAACTTACTGATGCCTCAATTAATGCAATTTTATTGGTATCTATTTTTATTTTTGAAATTTACCAGTAACTGCTGCATTTTCCACCCTCAGCTTATAATCAAGTCAATAAGTTTTCGCAGTTTGTTGTGGTACTATTGGGTGCCTCAGCTTTTATTAAGGTCGGTTTATACTCGAATATATACAGTATATTTTTTCCATGTATAACAATCTACATTTATTCGAATACAGTCATGTCATCTTCTTATGGTGGCTGTACAATGCTGCACAGTGGTGGAGGGCAGAGTTTCACTTAACTGGGGCTTATTCATGGGGTAGGGCTTATATTACAAGCATCCTGAAAAATCATACTAGGGCTTATTTACAGGTTAGGTCTTACTTTCGGGGGAACAGGGTACATTCACTTCTGGCAAGAAGTATGAACCAGGATTTCCCCAGGTTTAGACCAATATTTAGCCACAGATCTGCAATCAAACTGTATGGCAAATATAAAAATAAAGTACTTTTTTAAATATTAAAAATATAGTCATGCAGCCTCTGCTGAATTATTCTGGTTACACATTTTTCTAAGTAAAGATAGTTAAGCTGTGCTCCCTACATTTAACCACATTGTCTGAATCTCGGTTCCATAATTAAATTTTCTCTATGGTTTTGCTGTTCAGGTGCCTGTAAATTATAGGCAGATGTTTTCATCAAATTATTCCTAAGGGAAGATTTAAAGTGGTGCTGCACTATCTATGCTAAAAAAAAAAAAGCACTTCATATGCAGCTGGTTGTGTGCTTCATGACAGGATACACTTGCTCATTAAGAACTATGAATGCTAAATTCACTTAGGGGTGGATTTTTTGTTTTTGTTTTTTGTTTGATTGTTTTTGGTCAGTTGATAATTTTATTCTGCTTCCTGCTACTGTTTTCTTTTGCAAGACTCTTGTTTTCCATGGCCACAGCTTTCATTTCCCGAGATGTTTGATTTATGGGCAATTCACAGATTAATGACAAAATAAAACTGCTACAGCTTTTACATTATTTTTCAACCGATGCAAAGAGAGAACTGAGTTTCTTGGAAGTTACTCAATAGGCTATGGACTGAAGTTGGCAGGATTAAGCGGCCCTCCGAAAATGTTTTTGCACTGACACAGTCCTTTACAAGTGTAGAGAAAAACAAACTATGTCACACCTATGTCAGTTCTCTATGTCACTCAATATGTATTATGGAAGACTTGATACAGTGGTGCCCCACAGGACGACGACCCTGCTGTACGACGAATCTGCAGGACGGTGACTATTTTGCGATCGCTATAGCGATTGCAAAACAATGTTTCCTATGGGGAATTTTCGCACATCGATTAGGTCCTTGCTTCACGAACCGATTGTTCGCAAGACGATGATCTTCCCAGCTGATTGGCGGGTTCCTAAAATGGCTGTCCTGCGTTTTGAAGACCCAGGCTTTGCAGGACAGCCATTTTAAAAGCTGATCGGTGCTCAGAAAATGGCTTCCCCTATGGAGGATCTTCGCTGGACGGCGAGGTAATTTCCCCATTGGAACACATTAAATTGGGTTTCAATGCATTCCAATGGGGAATTTTTTTCACATGATGACGATTTCGCTTAACAGCGATTTTCCTGGAACGGATTATCATCATCATGCGGGGCACCACTGTACTAGATGTTCCAGTGATATTGCCTGTTACTAGGCAAAAGTCATCTGAAACATTTATTAATTGTACTGTGTTGCTTTTGACAGGAACAGAGAAACTGACACAAAGGAAACAAAAAGACCTAGAACTGAGATAGGTGGAACAAGGTTCAAAGCCCCAGTGAGCCTGTTAAAATCTTCCTTCAATCTCTTATGCAGCTCCACGCTGTAATCATTCTTTCAGAATGCAGAAGAGTCCAAAATCCAAATGCTACAGACAATGAAAAATAACCTCATGCTACCTGATTAATCATAATAGTTTACCATTATGGAACACATTTTCAAACCATGGTTTCAGCATACCTTGAGGGCAGTTTTGCAAAGTTCTCATGGAGCAGTACTTTAAACCCTGTAATAAGGGACAAGTGAGGGAGATTAAACGTTTCATCCCGTGCTGCCCCTTAGATGAAGCAATAAGAAGAATGTTGGGTCAAATTACCAATAATTTCACATGTTCAAAAGTGGAATGCATTAATTTCTACTAACGGAGGCATTTCTTTATGTCAGTTACCAAGTGGCTGTTTGCTCATGTTTTCATTTAGAAAGAGTATTTCCTAACTGTAGGTTAAAGGGTTAGTATGTGGGTATTTGCATTAGAGTGGAAACTACTATCAGGTATATTATGTTTCTCAATTTATAGTTTTATCCATAGCTTTATTATTATAAAATTATGTACTCATTTTAACTCTTAATTTGTTATGGTATATGGCAACAATAATAAAATTACATTCACATTAATAAAATGCAGGTTGAGAACGCATTTATCTTTCTTAGCCTCTGTTTTCTAATCTGTAAAAACAACTGTATACCTTAATATCAAACCTGGGAATGATCTAAAACAACCCTACCAAAGTAACAGACCAATCACTCACACATTACTATAAACACTCATTTCATAAGTACGACCAAACCAAAAGCAACATTCCGCCAGATTTTAAGCACATCAGAGACACCAAAAGGGAGCTTTGATATGTCGGAAACCAATGAGTGATGCTTCCTACACTCTTTGGAAGAAAGTCAACAAAGAATCCTAATTCCATACGTACATTGAAAAAGTCTAAGTTGAGTGACTTCCCACAGAAGAACTTCCTATTAATTAAGGAAAATAAAAATAATTCACATCACATCATTGCCATTATGATGCTCACTACAAAAATGTGCTGATGGCTATAAGCTGAAGCAGCTCTAAAAATGGACTGACAAAGGACAGAGGATAGTCCATCTCTTTGTCAGCCATGAAAACTCAACAGACTCCTTCATATTCAGAGGCATCACATTCCTCCTAGATCATTTTTCCATTAAACAAAATAAAATAACAGAGCTATGGAAAGCTTAGCTATGAACTCTACAAAAACTCTGCAAAACTACCAGATAAAAATGTCAGATTATTTCCCAGCAGTTGTTCAATTCACTATTCTTCATATACCACAACACTTAATGAAAACTTTCTTAAGTTTTGTGGGGGAATCACTTCTCCCCAAAGTTGCTAAGCTGTTGGCTGATTCTTCAGTGTAGAGAAAATTCTCCTGGATGACGTCATAGCTGCTTTTGAGAGGCAGAGTTACCATCATTCTTCTTCTTTCTCATAGGTGATAAGAGAGCTTGCTTAATTGCCTTTCCCTAGGCCAGTGATGGTGAATCTATGGCACGCATGCCACAACTGGCACACAGAGCCCTCTCTGTGGGCACACGAGCCATAAGTCGCCATAGAGAAATACTTACCCATCCTCCGATCCCGGATTTCGACAGTCCACTCTGCTGGTGCAGTGCTCCAGTGGAGGGGTGCAATGGCAACCACTGCCAGTCTAGCCCAATGGGGGATTGGAGGACCAGTAAGTATTTATTTGTTAATACCGCCATTGGGGGGGGGGGGAAACAAGCATTTAACCCTTGCAGTGCAGGAGCAGTTGTTTTTTCTAAACTAAAACCTCAGCATTCGGGTTTTAATTGCAGTATTGGCACTTTGAAATAAAGAAGCTGATTCTGAGTTGCAGTTTGGGCACTTGGGCTCAATCCTAATGGCATGATGTGACCATTGTCCTACCTGAACCCTGTAAGCGATGTGTATTCTGTCACTATCTGTGAGCTTGATATTACCATCACTGCCTTAGGCCAATCCTAATGGCATGATGTAACCATTGTCCTATCTGAACCCTGTAACTGATGTGTATTCTGTCACTATCTGTGAGCTTGTAAGGTTAATAAAAGCACAGTCCTCCTGGGGGCAGGGCAAAATTCATTGGGAACCCATTGGGAACTTTTCTACTAGCCGCCCACCAGGAGAACTGCTGGCAGACACCCCTGTGTGTGTGGCTGACTTCTTTAACCTCCATTTCTAAGAGACTCTTTGCTATCCTAATTATCTGGTGATCACCACAAAGCCCATCAGCCTGCTAAGTGTGTGACTCCAACAAAGTTTGGTGAGACATATTACTAGGTGGCATGGAAATACATGTAGATCTTTTAACTCTAAAAAGGTCATAGAATGTTAAGACTCAAATATAGGTTTATTTCAAAATTAGAACTTATGGAAATTCATTAGACATATCAAAGTTGGTTGGCCCATCTTGGGGTGTTAAATGATTACACACTGCTGGGACATGATTCTTGTAAATACTCTTGTTCAGAGAAAATACACATTTGGAAGTTTGTCTGTGTCTGTTTCTTTGAAAATAATAAATCTTTTTACGATTACAATACTCTCCAGAAGAAACTATTAGAGAGGTTAAGCAAGTTCTTACCTGCAGTGGGTCATATAAGAGCTTTTGAATTTTAGAAGCACCTTCACCTCAGGTTTTCTTCAAATATCACAGAATGCTTCATAAAGGAAGAAAAAGGATGGATGCAAGATTCATAAATCTCACTCGTTTCCACAACAGTCAACAGCACTCGACGGGTTTACAAAATCTGCCCAAAAAAAGGGAAAAAAGAAAATAATTAAAAAAACAAAATCCTGAAATTAGAAATGAAAACATTAGTTGTTTATGTGGCTGACCACAGAATAAAGCCAGCCATAACAACTTTGGAAAATCCAGTTTTTATACATTTAATACACCCAAATTGCAAAGTCCTATGCTGCCTTTGCTGCTTCAAAAAAATCTCTGCCTAATTTAGGTGTTGTTATTTATATTTTATCCTACTATACTTCCTATATTCCTGACTGCTCCATGTTGCTGAAAGGATCTGAAAAGGTACTGCAACACCATTCAGTTGAGCGCAATTACATAGTTCCATACAAATACGAAATCTGATAAGACATATGCAGCTTTGTATCTGTATTCCCTTGCATCAATATAGGTCCTCCTTAGACCCAGAATAGGTTGGGAGTGGAGGGGACACGGCAGCATCATGCATCCTCAGCACTTCCTATACATGTACAAACAGGAATGCCAAAAGAGGAGCATAATCTACACTGGTAATGAAGCTACCTTTTTTGCAATCTCCTTCCCAGTTACGGAACTTTCTATCTCAGGAAAAACTTTCTTAACCATACCTTACCCCCTAGTCATTTTGCTCCAGTGAAGGGCCTTTGTAAATATCCAAATACCACCACCAATGAGGGAAAAGGTGTAAGTTACTAAAAATAGAAGTTTTTATTTGTAATAAGCAGCAGCCTGATTTTGTAGTAAGCATCAGGCTTCCTTAAGGAACTCATTTCATTTGTGCCACTGGGCCTTTTTAGAAGTTCATTTAAGACCTTAAAGATCTACATGATTCTGACTTCAATCACAGCTGTTGGCTTTATTGTGTGCCCTACTGTTTTGGATAGCATTACTGATGTCTACTTAATTGTTTCATCATTCTAATGGTACTGTAATGTTCATGGCACAGATCCAAAGAATCGGGAATGGAAGAAAGGAATCCAACAGAATTTCGTTGTTCTGCAGAAGGGCTTCCCACATGTAGTATAAAGGCACAGAATTATAATATAAATAAATGGAGAAATGGAAAAGACAGGCAGTGTAGTGTATGCACTTTAAATTACCTGAAAGGACTGAGAATGAGCTTCCATAATACAGTAGTACCTTATGTAAGAAAGATTGCACTACTGAATGAAACCATCTACTCACTCTAAAAAATCCCAAACATTCTCACTCTGTGCTTTTTCCTAAGTCTGAAACCATCCATCCATGAGTAGAAGAGGTTTTGTGCTAGCAGAACACAACACCCTTGAATACAGTTACTGCTTTAACCATTATTAGCCATGATGAACACTGGACAAAAAAAAAGGGGATTTAAAGGGGGTGGGGGAGTTAACTGAATGCCTTTATACTTTTAGCAACTCATTGATAATGTAAATTAAATGCTTTTCTGTTATTTATCCTATGTGCACATCCCAGCTCACAATCTTGAACATACTGTATCTGGATTTACAAGAGATATTTTTAAAATGCCTCACTAAACTAAAAATAATAAAGTCTTCCATATAATTATCTGGGTTTTTAAATACGTAATGGGTGGCATGAGTTTTTTTTATTATTATTATTACATAAAACAGTAAAATGTAGGCAAGGTAAATTCACATATTTCTACATACTATTTAAATGTAAAGAATGAATGTGAACAAAAATATTGTTGGCTGAAATCGTGTTGCTTAACAAAGCAAGTCACAATGGAGTATTCTAGTATGACTTACTACACTATAAGCCATAATTTACTGTTACTAACCAGAAATGAACAGAACAAGACAAATATGTTTGAACTGTATGTAAAAAAATTCAGCTCCGTAATATCTACAGTCATGGCTAAGGTGTTACATAAGTAGTAAAAATCCAAGTAAGGAGAACCTCTAAATGAGCTGAATTCAGATAACATATTGAAAAGTTGTTCCCATTGTAGATTTACTGAAAAGCCAGTTTTTGCTGTTGGAATAACTTTCACTTGTACTGCCACATACACAAGCCTATGCACGCACACACGCTCAACTTGTCAGATGCTTGCTGTTCTTCTCCCTTACTGAAAATGTATCACTAGCATACAGTATAGTACTTGTAACATTTTCCCATCAAAAACCAAGACCAACACTGATAAGGTATAGGAAAGTGCATCTTTTCTTATGTACTCCGTGTTTTTTCTGCAGCATCAATGAAAACCATACAGGAAAAAAAAAATAACCAGTACCTGCTTCTAACACTGGACTCCACATTCTTTGTGTGAAAACTGTAGAGTAATGGGAGCAGTACTGAACTGTTTCAAGGATAAGAGTAAGAAACACAGTGAAATTCTCTGCATTGTTCCTGCCCCCTCCCCTGCAAATTCTGTCTCAGTTTAATTTTGAGCACTGCCGCCTTTCCAGGAGATGTTTTAACCAATGAACACGCTTGCAGGATAATCAGGTAACATTTATTTTTCAGTATTTTCTTAGAAAACACATGAAGAAAATGCTAGCCTTAAAGTCAACACTGTTTTCCAGACCTTTACGTTATATATTATGTATAGCTAACTATGATCTCATTACCTCCTCCCTTGATTGATACTGACCCATTTCCCCCCACTACCTTTCACTGATTACCTCATAGTGCTTGAAACCTCTTGCTTTACCCACACTTAAGCATTGCCTTCCATGTGGAGTGATTTAAATGGGCTTCCTGACACCACTAGTAATCTATAGTTATCCCTAGAGAGACTCTTTGTCTTCACTTAATGTCAACTATGCAGCTTGAACGTATACAGAAGGCATTGCAATGGCCTATGAGGTGTGGGAACTAGCCCTGTTCTATGCTGTCAACAAGAGAATATTCCCTCCTTGCAACAGTGATTCTTCATTTCGCATATACTGTACAACACACTCCCCAGCATTAAGCAGAAAGATTTATCCTGAGGCTTTCACCAAGAATCCAACAGGATTTTCAATCATGTCCTAGGGCAAGAAAATTAATTTTTAGTTTGATGTAGATGCTGGGGGTTGGAAGAAGAAATCAATGCATTCCCTTTTTAATGCAGAGATTAAGAATTTTGAAAATATGTTCCAAGTCATTCCAGAGCTTGCCTTTCTGTTCTTTTAATGAACCACATTCTCATTTTAAAGAATCAAAATATTTATTTTTTAAAAAACAGCTTGCTGGAAAATGTCAACAGCTGGTTGTTGCATACAGTTACCATCCTCTTTCTCCACCTAAATAGTCTGGAACCTTCATTGATTTTCAAGTGGTTACCTTAAATTATTTTGCTTCACTTTAGAAAACAATTCTATCTCAGCCTATGAAATTCCTTTTTCTTGAAAATCAATTACAGTCAAAGTCCCCAGCAGAAACCATCAGCTGCACAATGCTGAGGCCTGAAATGGCACAGTGTAAAATGCTGTTTCAAGTGCAGCCACCAAATGAGCTTCAATTTACTCTAATAATCGTCACTGGAACAGGAGAAAATAATTACATATTTGTCAGAAGAAGAACCATTTCTCAACATTTGCATAGGCAAAAAATTTTTTCTCAGCCAGCTTTGTAGCTCAGCAGGCATTGTTAGTAAGTGGTAAATGAGAGAGAGAGAGAGAGAGAGAATCATGCTGAAGGGACACTTAATCTTTGGGAATGAAAAGGAAGGAGGGGATGATGCTGTGCTAGGCACCCTGATGCCTTAAGATTTATATAGCGAAACGGGTGCCTGTCTTAGTGTAAGCAATTTGTTTAGTACTTCCAGCTGAAGGGCTGTTCACTGGTGTCTAAGAAAATTAGATGCCTAACAATGAAATATTAAGGACAAAGGGAAATGGCAGTGAAAGTAAAAGCCCCTTGATAAACCCACTTAAGTCACCCCCCCCTTTCATTTGAAGATACAAGAGAAAATATAATTCCTTTGGTACGTGTTCTTAAAAAAGAAGTTAACACAATGAGACTAGAGCTCCTAGCACCACTGCCTGAAGAAACAGTGAGTAATCTGTATTCAATAATTGCACAACACAGTGAGGCAGACGTGTGTGTGTCTTAGGCAGACTTACTCCTGTTTCCTTCCCCCAAGGAACCATGGCATGCAGGTAGTCAGATTGTAAACATTTGATCAAGAGAAATATTTCCCTGTGGCCATCTGGCACTTAACCTTGCTCTGGCAGAGAAGTCCTAGATGCCATGTTATGCTTAGGACATCATTACTTTTGTGGTAGTTACCCAAAAGAGTACAACAACATACCTGAGAAGAAACTGAGGACAGTTCTGGGCTGTTTTAAGTCTTTTTCTTTCCACATATACCTCCACCCATTCCACCAGTGGATATCTCCCCTATCCTGATAAGATTTTGTTTCAGTCAACAGGAAGAAATGAGAGGGGAGCCAGCCATGGGGAGAGGCTCTGCATGTAAAAAAGGAAGGAGAGGATACATACACACCACTAGGTCCACACAGCAACCTCTGCTAAAGGATTAAGAGGATTTTCAATCTCATGTATGCTTCACGGTGGGTTTTGGGTTCTATCACCCATATGGCTGAGGTAGCTTTTCACATTTGCTGAGCGCTATAACACGGTAACAGCGTTCCGTGTCTAAGTCGCACTGGCCATGCGACCACAGAAGATTGTCTTTGGACAAAACGCTGGCTCTATGGTTTGGAAACGGGGATGAGCACCGCCCCCTAGAGTCGAACACGACTGACAAAAATTGTCAAGGGGAACCTTTACCTTTACTTATAATAGCCAGTGTACTATGCAGTGTTCAGTGTATTCTCCATTCAGTGTTTCTAAATATATTAAGCAAAATGAAATGAGTTATTCTTCACCACTGACACACCAGCTCCTTTTCTTATACTACTAAAAAGAAGATTAAGAAAGTGACCATCTCCCCCACCTATCTTAATTAAATCATCATGTAGATCATCCTGCTTGCATCTGGTTGTGCCTCATGTACACCAGAAAAGAGGATGCAGGAGGCAACAGGGCCACTGAGTTTAAAAACAACACCTTCCCATTTCTAAGAGCCAG